GAACCCCATCTCGAGGCCGGGGATTGAGCCTGCAACTGAGGCACATGCCCTTGGCCAGAATAGAACCCAGGACCCTTCAGTCCGCAGGCCCATCCTCTAACCACTGAGCCAAACCAGCTCGGGTCACGCATGCCTTTTAACACACCCATACATGTTTCTGTTGGGTACATATGTACTCAGATGCAAGGATTGCTGGATCATAGAATATATGTATGTTCAACTTCAGTAGATGTTGCCAGTTAGCTTCCAAAGGGATTGTACAAATTGACACTCCTATCAGCTGAGTAAGAGTGTTCCTGTTATTTCACATCCTCACCAAGACTTCATGTTTATAGATTTAGGTTTTCACTTTAGATATTTTGGTGAGTGTTTTTAAATTTATACTTCCTGAAATATTAATAATGTTTCTTATTTTATGCAGTGCCCCTTCAAGTGTGTCCATTTTGAATTTGCCTGCCTGCCTTCTAATTGATTTGTCACGTCTCCTCCTACTGTGTCACTTGCCCTTTTACCCCCTTAGTGGTACATTTTGATAAATGTCCTTTTACTTTTAATGAAATCCAATTTATTGGTTTTGTACTTTTGGGCTAGTAATATTGATGTCCTGTTTAAAAATATGTGGTCACCCCGTGGTCTCAAAAATGCTCGCCCCTGTTTTTTTCCGGAAACTTTATTGCTTTACCATTCATGTTTAGGTCATGATACATTTGGAATTGTTTTTTTGTTGTTTATAGTGTGAGGTAGGCATTCAGTTTGCTCATATTGTGTTAAGTAAGGATTTTTGTGTCTGCGTTTATGAGCTTGTTGGCTTACAATTTTCTTTTATTGCATTTTTCTTGTCATATTTTTACAGAAATGTTATGCTGCCCTATAAAGGACACTGAATAGTATTCTTTCTTTTTCTATTCATTAGCAGAATTTTTAGATTTGGCATTATTTGTTCCTTAAATGTTAAAGAATTAACTGGTGAAATTCACCTTAACCTGAAGGGCATTTTGTGATATTTTAAATCATAGTTTCAGTTTCTTTAATGGGTATGGGACTATTTAAATTTTATCTTTCTTGTTTAATTTGTGTAAATTGTGGCTTTTCTAGATATTTGTCCACTTTATCCAAAATTTCAAATTTATTGGCATTAACTTCATGTATCTTCTTACTATCTTTTAAATATCTGTAGGCTCTCTAGTGATAACTTCTTTTCATTCCTGCTGCAGAAATTTGTGCCTTTTCTCTTTTTTTCATATGAGTTTATTATTTTATTTGTCTTTTCAAGTTCATCTCTTGGCATTACTTTTATTTTTATCGCAAACTTTTTTTCTATTTCATTGGTTTCTGTTCTTATGTGTATGTTTCCTTCATTTTGCATTTTTGGATATATTTGTTTTTCTCTTTTATAATGTCCTGGTAGAGTTGATATTCAACCCTTCTTTTTCAACATCTAAATTTAATGCAATCATTTTTCCTACAGACGCTGCAAAAACTTTACCCCATAACTTCAACAGGTTATGTTACCATTCTCATTCAGTTTGAAATATTTACTAAGTCCCATGGATTCCTTTTTCCTTTCACCAAGGGTTTATTTAGAAATATATAATTACTTAATTGCCTATGATCAAAATGGAAATTCTAGAGTTCTCTTCCTCCTTTCTCTCCTTCCCTTTTTTTCCTGAACTCTTCCGTTTCAAAGCTCTTGGTGGGGAGAGCAAAGTGGACATTTATTCTGGAGTCTGTGCATCGAAGGAGCTGTGAGGGCCTAGAGCAGGAGTGGTGAACCTTTTTTCTGTCAAGGGCCATTTGGATATTTAGAACATCATTCTCAGGCCATACAAAATTATCAACTTAAAAGTTAGCCTGCTCTGTTTGGTCAAACATTTAATTGAATTTGTTGAATTTCAAGCCCCGCTTGCGGTTGCCTTGGCAGGGCGAGACCAAATGATTTTGACCCAAGTGCCAGACATTCCCCACCACTGGCCTAGAGTGAGGCATGAAGCCTGGAAAGGGTAAAGAAGGTAAAGATAGGAGAACTGCCCAGTGAGGGGTGTAGGAGGCTGCCCAGGGCAAGAAATATGTTTCAGAAGGCAGTCCGTCTGGCAAGTGGTAACAGCTTGAATTGGGAGAGAAAAGCATCCCATGGGGGGGGGTAGCCAGGTATGTGGTGTGAGCC